TTCCATTCCTCACCTTTCCGGGTCTCCCGGCCTCCTGATGCTGAGTTTTTCTCTGATTCTAAAGTCTTTCTGGGTCGACTTTCTTGTCATCTGGCCTTCTACTTCACAGGGTCGGGCTTCAGTTTCCCTGGTCTGCTATGTCAATTACCAACCTTCCATCCATTTTCCGTATTCCAAAATTTAGCTGACATCTGAACTTCTCTGTTGTCTCCTTGCCAGCAGTCTTTGCCTTGTAGGATTTATTTAGGCTTTTTAATCCTTTACTATCATTTTGGTGAAGTTTGGGAAAGGAGCAGAAATAAGTGTATACATTTGATCTGCTGACTTTAACCATATCCTTATTTTTTTCCCCATCTTTGTATTTAAAAGGTTTTTATTTTTATGATTCCAGAATTCCTCCATACCATGTCATAAAAATGTTCACCTGCAAATTTTCTGATAATTCTTAAGTTTTTTCTTCTGTAGTGTAGCCTCGCTTTTTTGTTTGTTTTGTTTTTTTGAAGTAGGGTATAAACTTTGAATCTAATTTTACTGTTTCCACACAGTAATCAACTGTAACCTTACCTACCATTAACAGAATAATCTATCCTTTTTTCCTGGATTACTGCTGCCTCTGAGGTTATTTTAAATTTCCATGATGGTTGGGTCTATTTGTAGGCTTTCAATGTTAATCTATTGATTTATTTGTCTATTTTTGTGCCAATTGTACTTAGAGTTGCCTTATAACAGTCTCGGGACTGCACCAGAAGGAAAATAGACGGAATAAGTTGCTTGTCTTGCACATGGTCAACCCTGCTTTGATTCCTGGCACCGCATATGGTCCAAGCCTTTCCAGGAGTGATCCCTGAGCACAGAGCCAGGAATAATTCCTGAGCACGGAGAGGTGTGCCCCCAAACCAAAACACAACAAAAACTTTAAAAAAAAAACAATAAAAATGAAAATAACTCTGCTTATTTTCACTACTTTAGCATATATATTTTAGGATCATTTTATCAAGTTCTACAAAGTATATCATCTAGAGATTTTAATTGAAATAATAGGTTGATAACAGACAATATGTTAATTTGAGAAGATTTACATTTACATTTGCTATATATAGGTAAAAATAATATAGTTTTGCTATTTAAGCAGACTTTCTGTCCTTTAATCAATTTTTTAACATTTTGCACAGATTCTAATATTCTCATACAATACACACATTTACTATTGTTATAAACAGTATATTTATCCACTGTGTTTTAAAATTACAGTTGACTGATTATAGGAACTCGGATATTTACATACTGAACTTGAATTTTTTTCTTGCTAGAATCTTATTTATTGATTCTTTTGATTTTCCATATTCACACTTAGCACTAGCAAATAAAATAAAAACTTTTGTTTTTATTTCTAATTCCAATTATTGTATAGTTTTTTTCCTCTTTCTTTGTCTTAGGGCCTCTAGCTCATTCTTTAATTGTTGAATGAATAATAATCATACTTATCTTCCATTGAGTACATAGAAAATTTATAACCTTTCACCATAAATGTGTCTACAGCCAATTTCTGATAAGTATCTCTCATATTTCCAAATATTCTAGAGCAATGGAGATAGGAGAGCAGTAAGGCATTTGGCCTTGTGTGTGACCCACCAGCATTCATTTCATATATGGTCCCTGTACCCCACCAGGAGTATACATCCCTGTGTGTAGAGCCAGGAGTAAGCTCTGAGCACTGCAGGTGTGGTCCCCAAACCAATTAATTAGTTAATTAAAGTTATACTTCTAGTCTTTCAGGAACTTTGAAGTGATTACTAATTTTATCAAGTACTATTCTTAACATATCTTTATATATATGTATACGTGTATACATAAATATGTATTTATATAAAGAGTTTTGTCTTAGTGAAAGCATATTTCTGGGTTTGAGCCTCAGAATTGCAAGAAGAGAGAGAGATTTAAAATAACTAATATTGTTTCTTGATACATTTTCAAATTTTGAACCATCTCTGCTCGTTTTGCCTTTCTATAACATGCTTAGGATTCAATATGTTAATTTTTTCATCTGGATTCGTAGCTTGTCTAATGGGAAAAAAGTATGGCCTGTTTTCACTTTTGAAAAATTGACACGCAAGCAGGGTCATTGCCCAATACCAGTGGACATGATTGTAAATATTCCATGGGATACTTTTTGAAGAAAAAGTATCATCCAGAAGTTTCCAAATGACGGTTCAGATTTGTTATGATTTCATTGGGTAAATAGACCCTATGTGTAACACCTTTTTTTAAAAGCTCAGATAATCTCGGTGAGAAATATATTCCACAGGAAAATTCCTATATGAACTCTGTATTTTCAGTGCTGTTTTCAAATGACTTCTGGAAAAAAATGTAAATACTGTGAAAGTAAATTTTCCCATGAAACATTAGACTATATATTTTTCTTTCTTTCTTTTTATAGCCTTTCTTTTTTATTTCCTGTTTCTTAAAAAGTAAAAAGATGATGAAGAAATAATTTTTCAAAGTCACGGTGTATATCCACGTGATTTGTTAAATGATTCTTCCAACCACAACATTTCAAATACACAAACTAGGTCAGTTGGTTGCTCACACTCTATTACTATATATGAAAGATTCAGAATTTATCTATGAAAACATACATCTATTTTCTACATACATAACCCCCAAATATTTAGCCATTTATCTTTTTAAAACCATGCAAATAATTCATGTCCTTTCCATATTTCCTGCTGATAATATTTCCCCCATTTGTGACACAAATTTTCTTTGCTCTGAGAGACTGTTAATTACTTTATTCATAGAATGAAAATTGTGCTCTGATCTTGGTCAACCCCAGGACACTATATGTGCAGGCAGAAAAAGTGCTGCTTACCACATAGTCTGCAGTGACTCTGGAAAACAGTGCATTAGAACAGACCTTACTGAAGATCGTGGGCCCCAAACACAGCATGATACAAATGTATCTTCACCCAGATTAACTTGTGTGCAGAATACATATCTTTTCTTTCATAGCTTCATGTTCAGCTGTTGACCAGAATCTAAAGTCTTATTCTATCTTTACAACCTGTGCAGCTATGGGATGTCCTTGCAGCAGGACTGGTTGTGTTCCAAAAAGTTTCTTTCCAAGTCATTTCTTTGGGATCAAGAAACGTTTTCCCATAGGGACATGCATTACAGGGTGGTGTGTGTGCCCCAGATGTCTGATGGAGCCACAGTGTTCTTGAGACACAATCTTGACTCTTTGGTTCCCACCAGCAATTATTTATTCTGTTTCCCTGGGAAAGTGCATTTTGAGTTCTAACTTGGGATGTCTGGACACACCTCTCCCCACTTGCCTTGGCTGTACCGTTTTTTTGGAGCCTGTGGCAATCAGGAGAGGAGATGAGGTCGCCTTTCCAGTAAAGAGATGGGAATTGGGGCCATCAAAAAGCCTCTGAATTTCTTTCTCATGTCACAGTGAGAAGAAGGAGACCCATCTTGAGGATCAGTCACTTCCCATCTCTTCTAAATGAGACACAAAGTTAGAGAACTTTTCCTAAGAAGAAAAAAAAAATTTTTTTTTAATTTCTTTGGACCACAAATGGCAGTTCTCCAGGGCTTACTCCTGGCTCTGTACTGGCTCTCTGTTATTTCTGGTGTAGCTTGAGGAATTGTGATGCCTGGGATTGAATCTGGGTTGGCTGCATGCATGACAAATGCTGTCGATATATCTTCTGCCACAGAGAGATGATTTTTAAGTAGGATCATTATAAAGGGGAAAAGACCAGGAACAATACAGTCTCAATGTTTTGAAGACTAAAGTTTCTGCCCTTGCAATTGGACAGTGTACAGTTATTTTAACACCTGATCGATGATGATGGAGCGTGCAAGTGGAGAACCAAGGATGGACAGACACTTAGTACCTGAGTCTGGCTCAAAAGCCGTGTGTCATTTTTGAATGAAACGTTGATTGACTAGCTGACTGCATTCTTTATTGAAGGTGCAAGACCAGCAGCCCCTCTCCCACTTTTGTGGGCCTGTGGACTTCATTCACATTCTCTCTCTCTCTCTCTCTCTCTCTCTCTCTCTCTCTCTCTCTCTCTCTCTCTCTCTGTTCCAGCCCTCTCCAGACACATACCAAAACAACAGCACTTTGGTCAAGCACTTGCGAAAGTCACCAGAACAAGGGTGTCATTTCCATGGATGTAGGTCTTGATCTGCAGTCTACACCAGCCTCTGAGGCAGATGCTCCCAGCCCCTTCTCCTGCGTGCAGTTTCTAGCAATATCTCCCCATGTTGGTTCTAAGGCAACAGAGGACAAGAAGGAAAGGGAAGGGGAGGTGGGAACCATCAGATCACAGGGAGGAAAACTCGACTCAGAGACTGTCCGTGTGCAGTTAGACGCAGGCGTATTCTGCCCAACATTCCCTCCCCCGAACACCCAAGTTGGCTGTCGGTGCTTTTGCTGCCGGTTGGACTTTTAACACATAGAGACCTGTGTGAGGAGACTGTGCCTCACTCCGATTTGAAGGGAGACTGGAGAGCAGCCCCAGGTGCCGGCCCATTCCAGGCATGAACACAGGACACAACTGTTTCCTTTCTCTGTGTTTGTCAGTGCCCCCGCTTAGAAAAGCAAACCATAAAGGCTCCCTCAATTAAAAAGCCGTCCCCACCCCCAGCCCAATAAAAAGGTCCGGACTGTTAAACTTGCAGTTCCAGAGACGGGCTGCTTTCTTTCTTTCTTTCTTTCTTTCTTTCTTTCTTTCTTTCTTTCTTACTTTTTTTTTTAAAGTTTCGTTTGCGTTCTACAAGACAGCCTCTTTCTCGAAGATTAACATTGCTTAGGAGTGTTCCTGACAATGGACTCACTTCCAGAGGCCCTGCTAAGGATCACCAAAAAAGGGCATGCAGCGGGTTTTGGCAGCCTGCTTGCAGTTTCAGAGCTTTTTAGGTCTTGCTTTTTCTGATGAGTGATTTCCTGAGCATGCCTAGGGAATGACAGGCATCTTCCACAGGCAGGCTGCATCCACCTCGGCCCCGGGGTGTCGTCATTGGCTGCTTATTAGAAAAGCTACAGGACAATGCATACCACCGACTGCCGACTGTAAACAGAGGGGGATATGTGTTCACTTAGCATGGGCTTCTGGGAGGAGCTAAGGAAGGGCGGTCTGGTGTTTTATTGAATAGAGCTGTGTGTATTCGGCCGCCTGCCCTCTCCGCTGTGCTCCTGCTCAGAGAAATCACTCCTTCCTTTCCGCCTTAGTCCCCGGGAAGAAGCTTGCTTGCAGCCTGCGAGGTAAGGCACCCAGGGCCTTCTCCGGGGGGCCCCCTGGTAGAGACAGGGGGGACTTTTCTCCAGGTTTGTCAGCAGTCCTGGCCCAGGTAGCCGAACTGGGAAGATGGTTCAAGGCAATAAATCATGTGGATTCCCAGAGCCAGCTGGGGCTCTGCCGCCCTGCAGATGTTCCGGCAAGACAAACAGGAGGCAATTCCAAGTTTTGTTTCCAGAGTGGGGAAGTGGGGAAGGGTCCCGGGGAGACTAATATTTCCAGGACCACCACCGGCAACTCTGATTCCAAGAGGAGCCTTTGTTTAGGAGTCCAGGGGGAGGTTATACCTGAGAGCCACGGGCCAGTGTCAGAAGCATGCTAGACCGTTCATACTCCTTGTCCGTCCTGCGACTTCGATGATCAGAGACTTTTGCAGGAGGTTTTGCTTTCCAAGCAGCTACCACTTTTTTAGGTTGAGGAGAAAAATGAAAAGGTGACTATTTTTTTTATTTTTAACCAAAGGGTTTTTTTTTTAGACTAATGTGTTTCCCTGGAGGGTCTATATAGGACGAGAGTGCTAGACCCCCACAAGAAAAGAAGGTCTGGGCTATAAAGAAACACACTTAGCACTGGTGGGGGTTGATGTAACTGATCTGATATTTGCTGAGAAGGAAGAAGCCGACCGCGATCTGTTTCCTATAAAAGCAAATAATGTGAGTGTGCCTGTGCTAGTGGGTGTGTTTCCAGAAATTGCATCGAACATCCTACCCGACTACTGCTTAAAAAGTCTTGCTCTTTTTTTTTTGTTTGTTTGTTTGTTTGTTTGAAAAACTGCTCCCGATGGCAATGGTGGAACTGGAAAAGATGTAGGTTGGAAGTAGGTTGCAGAAAGGGAGGACATAGGCTTTCATTTCAAGATAGTCAGACATATTAGGGCATCTTAAACAGTAGTACAAGGCGGCTACTTGGTAGTAGAATGGGATTCTTTTTAGAAAGAGCTGGTTTTAAAGGGTGGGGAAATTTTAGTGCTGTCTGAATATGTGGTTTTGAAAAAAAAAAGTGGATGAGGACAAAGTACTTGGAATTCATAGATCCCTTCTGTTAACAGGGCAAGGAAGATGGATTTGTAAAGTGAAATAGTTCAATCCTGCTAGGCTGTCTGGCAAATACGGATGTGTATGGCTGGAACTTAAGTGAAAAGTAGGTGGTATGTGGCAAGGAGAGAAATCTGACAATGTTTTTAATAAACCTGGTATTAAAGGTTTCTAGCCCTAAATGACTGAGTCTGTTTGATTTTATTCCATGCAGTGAGGCGATTCTGTGCTGAGATTCAAGGAATAATCTTTCCTCTTCATATTTAGAAGTTTAAGGATAACTTTTTGAGTATGCCTCTCCCTCTGCTTCTGAAAGTGATATATGAGCGCAGAATTCCCTGTGAATTTCTTTTTCTGGAACGGTTCTGAGTAAGTGTGAGAGAAAGGCTGCAGGCAAAAGCTATAGTTTGATTATGGTCCTTCTCATGAAGGGATCAAGTTCCAAACTATTTTCACAGTGTTTTTAAGTCAATCAAAATATGGAAAGCAATTTCATTTTCAACTGTTTTCTAAAACCACATAGGGAATGCAGTTTGGAAGGAAATCTATAATCTTGGGAATTGAGGATAAATTCCATTTTGAAGCTAATTTCTTTGACTCCCTAGCAGTTCAAACTTCACTGTCCGCCTTTCTTTTCTGCTTTCCTTATATGCTCCCTGCCCCCAGTAACCACAAATCACTTTTTTTTTCAAAATGTTATTCTTAGTGTTCTTCTATCTAGAGTGACAGAGCAAAGGGATTTGAGATTTGAACTTTGGGTTGAACCATTGGCATCTACTTTACTTCTTTAACGTATTAGCTAGAACACATCTCTCCATATAGGGAGATAAGTGGAGTACAGTGAAACTCTAAATGCCAAAACGTATATTTTATAAAAATCAGCCAGAAAAGAGAGATACAATGACAAAATTCCGGAACCAAAAAAAAAAAATCCATTAGTAAAAACTTGATTACTGCACATGTATCAATTGAACCATGAGATTATCGGTTTGTTTCTGTTGTTCAAAACCAATAGAATATGCAATTGATATATGATTTAGATCAGAAAGTCATATTTAAATAAATACACATTTCTTGCAATGTCCAGTCATGGAAAGTTGTGGAATCAAGGCTTGGTAGATAGTCTCTGTTTTGGTGAGTAAAATATACCTCAGAAAATCTTCTTAAAACACACAAAGTTGTCTCCATTTGCATTGGTCGTATGTTGACTAATTAGTTATTTTTTTAGCAAGGCAAAAAAGTGATTTAGAGATGGATTGGAAGGGGCTGGCTCCTTTCTCCTCTGTCTGCAGTCTATCATATGTCTCAGAAATATGTCACCATGGTGAAGCCATAGTGGGTGACCCAGGGAAAGTGCGGACCAAGTGGTATGCAAATAGCATGGTAGGACTAAGGCTAGAAAGACACTGCCAACAAATTTAGAGACTTAAAAATTGTTTTTCTAGATAAACTCTCTCAGAATCCCAAAAATATAACCATTCACCCCATACTAAGAGGCCTTCATCTGTCAAGCTAACCCAGATTTATTATTGAAGAGTTGCCAATAGCTTCTGAGAAGTGGGCAATTTCAAGGGAAATTGCAGATCAGATTAAGCAGCAGGAGGAGAAATCTGTCCACTTTGGTTCTTCTACAAATAGCCCACACTTTTGGTCTCATTTGTAGAAGGTATTCTTACGTTTTTCCTACCTCTCCTGGTGGTTTAGATGGTCAAATGAGACAAGGCCCTTTGCCTACATTTCTCCAGAAGTGGTCTACTTTCAAATACCTACAATTTAGGTCCTCTGGACATTATGATCATCATGACTGATATCTTCACTTCTTAACTAGCATCTTAATTATCTTTTTTTAACCTCATGCACTTGATCCTGGAATGGTGCCTTCTGGATCCTGGTTTCTGGGAGTCTCGAGTCCAGAGTCCAGGGAACACTGGCCTACCCCAGTGTTACCTAAACTTTGGCTTTGATTATCAGAGTTCAGGAGGACACAAGGATTAGGAGGCAGATTTGCTCAGGAACCAGGAAATCTGAAGATCCAGTTGAGCAGAAGACCAATGACAAGGTGCTGACAACAGAAAGGCCTTAGTAAATGAGGCAGCTTCTCTGCCTCCAGCCAAAAGCATGGAACTAATCCCAGCATGTCAAGCCCGGGCCTTGCAGGGAGAGTGAGGTAATCAGGAGCACCTGGCGGAGGTTCCTGCTGGTAGTGAGACCAGACTGCTTCATATATCTGGCCTCCCACCTCTATTTGCTCCCGTGTTGAATGCCCCAGGCTCATTCCCCTTTAAACAACTTCTAGTGGCATTCCCAATTTTTTTTTTCTTTTTGGGTCACACCTGGCGATGCTCAGTGGTCACTCCTGGCTCTGCACTCAGGAATCAGCCCTGGTGGTGCTCAGAGAGACCATATGGGATGCTGGGAATCGAACCGGGTGGGCCGCATGCAAGGCAAATGCCCTACCCACTGTGCTATCGCTCCAGCCCCAGCATTCCCAACTTTTTAAACCACCCCCATCTCACCCCCCGCTGTTGCCTCCTCTGCCAGCTCCTCCAGCTCTCTCTCCCACTCACTCCCCAGACATACCTGGTGGTTGCTTGACAATGCTCAGCTCTAGGTGGGAGCCCAGAAAATGGCAGTAGGGTCAAGCATAGATATGTCCCCACCGGGGGAAATCCTCTTTGCTTCTTTTAAGTAGAGAGAATAGACATTCGACCCATTTCTGTAGCAAAGAGTTACTTCCTTACACGGACCAGCAGTCGGTATGGTGAGAGGAGGCAAGAAGGAGGGATGAGCTTGGGCTGTCGGGGAGGTGAGTAGCTTCTTGTCTGTGGTGGTGATACGGAGAGCAAAGAATCTTGAACTCAGAAAAAATTCTTGGAGATTCTCTTTTAGATTCTTAAAAATCTGGGTGTTTTAAGCCCCCCCCCCTTTTAGCTTACCATCCCGTCTGTGAAGACCCTTGAGCTGAGAGAGGATGTGGTGATGAGTGAGGTGAGTCTCGATTTTCACGAGAAGCAAAAAGGAAGGGTATCTGAGTGCCAGTGGAAGAGGCCTTTTCTATTTTCCAGATTCTTTGGTAATAGGATGGGACACACACTCAGGTACATAGAAGCAGATTTCCTCCTCTGGTGTTGAGATATGGTTGCTTCGTGGGTCTCACCTCTGCTGACTTCCATGTTTAGCCTTTCTCGCTTGCTTCCTGGTTACTATCCCCTGGTGACAACCTCAATTTCGCTTCCCCCAGTCTTCCACCTCTACCAGCTCCTTCTTTTCTGTTGTGAAGTCAAGAAAATGCCCTTTTCTTTGAGGAACTTATAAGGGCTAGTGCAGCCTGAGTCACTGCTGGTGATTTCGGGCTCAAAGAACAGCTGTAATAAAATGAAAGGATTGCTAAGGGATCATCAGGGAATTAGTTGAAGAAATGTTTGAGAAAGTTTAAGTGTTTAATATTTAAGTGGTGTTCTCAATAAATGCTTTTTTATTAAGATACATGCATATATAATGCATATATCTATGCATTTATCTCTATTAGTGATGGATAACCTGGTGATAAATTGTTTTTTTAATAATTTCCTGAGGCCTCTGGCATTGTTTTGTGACTATGTAGGTGATAGCACTCGGTATGAAGGAAATCATTTCACTTGGAGAGCATCACTTAAAAGAGGAATATATAATTAGTACCTTTCTCTTCCACATGAAACATCCCTTCTCATGCGTCTCAGACAGATTACTGAGGCAGTTTCATTCAAGAGTTCATGAAAGGTCCACAGGCATCATTTGTTCTGTTGGGGTCCATGTAAGCAGGAGTCAATGTAAAGTATGATAATGAACTAAAATGTGAATTACAGGAAAGTAAGTAAAAGACAAAGAGCACAGATTTGAAGTAGGGGAGTGGTTTAGAAGCCCAGAGTTTACTTAGTAAAGCTGGGCGTGAA